CTCCTCACGTGGAAGGGCTTGGCAAGGTCTGCAGCAACCTTCCACGCAGGCAAAGAGCTGAAGCTGCCCTTGCATTTCTTTGCCCGTTCTCTCCTTTGGTCCTGCCCTAAAACCAAAATGATGTTTCCAGTAAGAAACTTCAGTTAAAATGTTTGAAATGCATCTTTGATATTCTCAATATCTTAGTCCAAGTTTGACTTGTGTATCATTTCCAGACAGTTATGCCAGTGTTGGGGGAGGAAGAAGGGATCAGGACAAGGTGAAGTGGAATGGAGACAATGCACAGCCCACTGTGTAGCTTGAGGTAGAAGTGGGAAAGGCATCAATAGCATCTGGTAGTTGATCTCATCTGTGTGGTCTTTAGGGCAATTCAGCTCAACCTAAGATAGAAATCTAAAGGTTCTTAATCGGAGGTCTTTAAATCTCAGAGACAGGGGAAAAGAATAGTTTTGACTAGACTAGCTTAAACTAACAACAAGGCTGCCAAAGGTGGGGAAATTAATTCTATCCACAGTGTGCATAGCAAAGCCAAAGAAATATTTACACATCATTGCCTTTCCTAGATGCTGTTATCCTGAATCTAGTTTTCCAGCTGAGGTAAATCCAGATGATGTAAATCATCATGACTCTATTGACATAAGCTAGCCAAAAGAATGGCCAAAAGTTTCTATGCTAATACCGGTTGTTTTTCTAGGTTGGCATAGTTTACAGCAATTTCGTTAAAATGTTATTTAAATTAAAAGGGAAATAGCTCATTGCTAGTTTAGATTTCTGTTTAAAAAATATAAAAATCTCGGACCTAAGAGGTGTTATAACCTTTTACAGGCAGAAGTAAATGTTTTGGGAGAAAGTTGAAAATGCCAGATCCTTCCAGCCTTAAAAATCTCTGAGTGCAACATTACTGGTTAAACACAAATATCTGTATTGTGTAGACCAACCGCTCCAAATGAAAATGTGTTCTCTGCATCAAGGAAGACTGTTTTAGGGAATATATTAACCAAAGGCCAAGTCTCTTTATTCATAAAGAAGCTGGTAGCAAAAATGTCATCAGTTAAATGGAGCAACCACAGGAAGATCAAATGGCTGGGGTTGGAACTGATTTGGGAAGGGTGTTGGGGAAAGGCTGCAAGCCCTGCCCTTCTCCATTTCAGAGCTTCTTAAAAATGTAATTTCTATTTTTCAAAGTTTTCAAATGGAATTGAGTTTAGAATAAGGAGGAGGAAGGGTGTGAGACTGACACAGAAATGTAGGAATAGATGAGTCAATGAAGAAGAAACAGTAAGGTCTCTAATAGTAAAATAAACACTTTTAACCTTCTTGCCTTTCATAGTTGGAGATGCAAAAGTGTTCTGTAGGGTCTCTGTATGTGGTATGGATGGAGAAGGCAACATGCAGTGCACCTGTAAGAAAAAGCAGATTTTTCTATAGGCTACTGGGAAACTCTTTACTTTTACAAGTCTAAACTGACCTCTTTAGGCAATGCTGTGATATTATTTTCACATATTAATAGAGTTTTAAGGTGTATGGGGGGGGAATTGATGAACATCTTGCCTGAAGTCTTGCAGCAACAGCCAAAAGATTCAACCCTGTAACTGCTGCCCATAGTCTCTGATTGAGCAACACCCTCTTTGAGAAAGTCATCAACTTATTGCAATGTCACATATTAGAAAGGAAAAAGTTCCTTTGAGTAGAAAAAAATCTTACCTTTCATATTCTGGTGTTTATCCAGAGATTAAGATTGTGAGGGAACGATCGGTGCAGCTGGTAAAAAGGATCTCTGCTCTTCACCAAGTGTTGTATCTTCAGCCAGCGTTGAACCACCTGGATCTCCAGTCTGCTCAATCTCTCCCCTTAGCTACAGTATCACCACCACAGGAGGCAAGGATAAAATTTCCCAGTATAAAGAGATAAACAATACACCGAATGTTGTGGCTGCGGGGTGTGCCACGCTGAGTGACACCAAAAGTCAGAGTCATTTGCATTTGTTTTCTGTGTTAGATTTTTCTCACTGTTGCACCAAATTCTTGTGCACCATTAGCACAGGGGGCAATTCCTGGTGACACTGCAGCTCCATACTTCACGTTCCTGGAGGCAGATGCCTACTCTTTATGAAGCAGCACTATGAAGTGATCCAATTCAGAGCAGCAGTGTTTTGGCGTGGAAGATGGAGGGAGTTGTGAAGCGTTTTCATTTATTTGGTGGCAAGGGAACCTGGTAAAAAACAGTTTATAAAGTCTGTGGGTATCCAATCTATTTTTTTTCATCTGGACAACTAAAAGATATAAATATAGAATAACAGTATTCCAGCATGAATTATTCTTCCCTTGCTGTTACCCTGAGCTTTTGTGGAGCCTGAGAGTTTTGCTGAGATGAGAGAGTTATACAGGTTCCCCCAAAGTACTGCAGCCATCTGCTCTTAACACAAGACATGTGATTTTTCTTCTTTCCCTTTGATTCAATATGTGTTACAATTTTTTAGTTGAAAGGAACTAGAAAATGGTAAAGGACAGAGGAAGCATAGTCCTTGTCTCTAAATGGATTTCAACATATTCTAGGGGCACATGAAGTAAAAACCTTCAGTTTGTCTAAGCCCTCACACATCTTGTAAGACCCTTAACTTCAGTTTTCATCTCCCTTAATTTTGGGGGAGAAAAGGCATACCATTGCTTCATCTGTTGGTTTTATACAGCATTTTGTGGGAAATTTTCACCTCTCTTAATGTCTTGGACCTTTTATGGCCTTGGAGCAGAAGTAATAGTCACAACAACAAAATACTGATTTCTGAGGTGCTTTAGTGCTCCAAGTAGTATTTTACACTGATTATGTGCCAAGTCATTATTTAGACAAACTAGATAATCTGCATTGCAGCTTCAAGTGGGAGAAGCGCTGAGGCACCTGCTCTTTATTTGTCTGATGGAATAGAGAAACTTGATACAAGTAAAAGAAGAAAAGAGATGTTGGCTCCAGATATTGACCGTCCCTGGAACATGTGTTTCACAGTCAGACTATGATAAGAGCCACCACAACACACTGTGGGCTGCACAAGAGGGAAGGATTTAAGCAAAATTTTTTTTGCCTACTCCAACAGATGTGTTGCCTGTCCATAAGTGTATGGCTCTTGTTCACAAGAGTTACTTGCCCCCAGCTTTAGTGTAATTTACAGGCAGTTTCCTAGCCCCCATTTCTCTTATTTCTTAAGTGTATGTGTTTCCTCAAGAGAAAATAGTAAAAGTCCTCTGAAACAGAGAATGGATGGAATTTAGTTCAGTCAAAACCAATCAGGTCCTTCATATTTGAAGTTTATATACTTCATTTAAATGATTTGCTAATGAACGTTAACAGAAACACAGAGCAGTGTTGGTCGCAGGGAATTCACTTTGGTTTTGTCCTCCTCTCTGTTGTTGTTCACATTATCTGACAAAAGTGGGATTTTTTTACTTGGTTTTTATTTCCTTTTTTAATCAAAGACATTATTGGATTCTTATTGCTTTATGGGGACAGACTGAATAATCTAAGGGGCTTCTATCTGCAACATATAAAATTATTCAAGCTAAGATTGCAGATGCTGGGAGATGAGGGATGCATAACAGAGTCTGGAAACCTCTCTTCACCCACACCAAGAATGTTCTTTGTACTTTGAGGCCTCATGAGTTTGAAGACTTTTCTTTGCTGGGTCTTAGTGTTGTAAAGGTGGGTTATTTGTAGGTTAGATCTTCAGGGTTTACCTACAAAGTGGAAAAGTTGCCTTCTGCTTTCCTTGCTGGATGCTGTCAGCTCTAGAGACTTCACTTACTTGAGGGTTCACTGAGTAATCTGATGTGTTTGACAGCCCAAAAGAGCATCAAGATAAAAGTGCTCTTAACCATTTCATAGCTAGGTAATGAATAGGAGCAAAAAATGTGGTGTAGACACGATGTGCCTCCAATACATCATCAGCAAAGCTCTGACTTTAAATGTTCACTTTTCATAAGATAATGCAACTTTATAACAGAAATGAAAGGAAGTCTTTCTGACTGATGCAGTAGAGTAGGGCTCAGGAGACAAGCTAAAAACCTAATTGCTTCTGCAGCTTTTATGAGTGTGATTCATCTGGTATAACTTTACCTGCCTGTAAGTTAAGTGTTTAATCTACACTGGTTATTCAAGGCCCTTCTGTGAGAGAGACAGGTATTTCTGGTTCACCCGACCTATCCCAAACAGTGACTCTTTCCAAGGTGCTTTATTACTTTGCTATGACAAGAGAGTAAGTCTCTTTCTGTTCCTAAACATGTAGTTTAGATGGATTCATCTCGCCTACCTTCATCATTCCCTTGGCATTGTAGCAGCAAGGACATTTCCTCCACCTTTTCCTCTTTGGCAGAGCGTTTGGGGACACATAACAGTACCATTGGGGTGCATGTACCTGACTAGCTATGTACAAAGGCCAGGCTAAAAGCCTGGAATAAAATTGAGAGTATTTTGTATTTGCCTGGTCTTTCTTCTTGTTCTAAACTTCAGGTCTTTAAATGATATTCATACAGTGTCCTGGAGCGTAGTGTCTCACTGAGAATAATTAAACTTCCTCTTAGGACACTTGGGGCCCAGAAGAGTAAGCTGTTGTATGAAAAAATTACTATGAGTAATACTTGTTTTTTCAGTGATGGACTTTGAAGTGTGGCAAAATCCCAATAGCCTAGTTAGCCTGGGATGCTAGGTTGATTGACAAACTTTTGAGAAAGTGCCTGATCCCATACTTACTGTTTTAGTGTCATGTTTGCAAATGATAGTACAATGCTAACTTTGGTGATCTAGTATTTGCAGTTCTAAGTTTATCAACACTTTCCCTGGACAATCATACTATTAATACCTTGAATAAGGTTTGTCTGTTAGCCTCATTTTTTTTTTTCTTCTCCTTGCAAAAAGCCCTGTTGTTGTTCTCCATGTTATTGTAAGCTGTTCTGTGATCTACTAAAATAAACAAAATATGACCTTAATTTTGCTTTGTTTTTTTTTCCTTTCAGTGGCTGCATCAACTGCTAATTCCACAGCTGGTGCGGCCATGAATTCTTTGACTTCTCTGGGTACTCTCCAAGGACTGGCTGGAGCCACTGTTGGATTGAATAATATTAATGCACTAGCAGGTACCGTAAACAGTGAGTATTTATTTGCTGTGGTGGACAGCCTTCCCCAATAATCATGCCACAAAAACTATCAGTTGTAAAGTGATGATTTTTAATCTGTATACCAAATAAAGGGGTCCAGTTGATCCGGTTCCATTCATGGTATATATTCAGTTCTGGAGTCTTTTAGTTTCACACAGTTTGTGCTGCTAAGTGAAGTTCCATGGATGCCTGCACAAAGACTCCTTTCCTTTCAGTACATGTGGAAGGTAAAAGAAATGTCACCAGAGATTTGGGTTATTTAGGTTATAGGAGAGGCTCCATTTTCATTGAGGGAGTCTGACAACAGGTGTATCACCCCAATGTGCAAAGCCTCACTCAGAAATGTAGTGCTAAGAAAGATGTTTGCCACCGAGGCTGTCCTTTAAAATGTCTGAAGGAATTATCAAATTGACTTGAGAGCAACATACTTTAAAAATGAAGGCAAGTCTTTGGCTTTTAATTGGCAAGTATAAGAGAATGATACAGTCAGTCACCTGTAATGCCAGAGCATGCACATCTTTCCTATGACATCTTATACAAACTCTGGCATCTCCAGTTAAGTAGATGCCTGTAGCTGTTACGACATTCTTCCTTGTCCTTAGCCATGGTCAAGATTTTCCTGAAGAAGGATTTTATTTTTTTTTAATTGTTTCTGCTATAATGACTTCACCTTTGCCTGCAATGGAAGAGATTTGCCCAGCTGCATTTTTTTCCCTCCCTCTTTTTTCTTTAGCTGCCGTTGCTCCTTGCATTTCCTTTTGCAATGCAAGGAATCTATTTGGTCACTGCCAGCCCATGACCCGTCATAATGTACCCTCAGGAATGGATGTCCTCCTCAGTATCTCTTGCTCACTCTGATGCTCTGCATGATGTCCTTTCTGTTACTGTCACTTGGCTGCTCACCCAATCTTTTTGTTCTGTGATCTCTGGTTGGCATTGTTGGGAGCTGGGAAGGAAGGGGGCTTATGGATGTCCAGTGTTGAGTGGTTGCATGGGGTCTTGTGTAAAACAGGACTTGCTTCTGGCAAGGACATGCGTATTTCACACAGACAACCTCTTTGTAAACACGACTCAAGACTCAAGCTAAAGAAAAGTAAGTATTAGTTCCCAAAATGGCAGATGTTAGTTTCCTTTCTTATTATTACATTAGTATCAAAGCAAGCCGCTGGAAATGGCAAGCATGAAAAGCTAACTTACATCCTCTCCCCTCATGAGCACTTGTAGTAAGAGAGCTATCCTGTTGTGAGAAATGGTTAAATGACCTTTCCTGATAAAGTCATTGTGCTTCACTTGGTTTATCAGAAGTCACAACATCAAGAGCAAAATATAGCATCCCACTCCTTCCCTCTCACCAGTCATAAGAACCCAGGCATACTGGAGCACTCCAACATAATGTATCCCTTCATCAGTACCAAGCAAGAGTGAATCACCTGTGAGCTCTTTGTGTGGGAACCCTTCTGCTGCACTCCTTTTAACACTCCTTGCTAGGCTGCAAGCCACGAGTTTACATTTTCTCAGCAAGCATTCTGAGGTGATGTGTGTGCAAACTTATCCACATGTGTCATTTGAAATATTAATGATGTATTTGCAGCCTAGTACCAAATTTGAGCTTGTTTTAAGCCACCATTACTTCCATGGACTTGTGCCAACAGTGACTCCAGTCCCAAATCTTCTTCATGGATGCTTTTATGGACATGTGTATAGCACTTGCAAAGTGCATGTGGGTGTGTCTGTCTAGTTATATACAGATATGAGAGAGAACTAAGGAGGGGAAACTGCTTCCCTGTGACACAACTCAGTGTTATGGCACTGTTTCTCTCAAAAGCATGACCCTGCTTTCCTGGTGCTTGTGATGCTGATGACAGTGAAGCGTTGTTCAAATTACAACCACCTCCCCTGTCGATTTTAATGACAATCCAGGAGTTTTCCTAGTGACTGTGTCTGATCCAGTCATTCCCACTCAAACCTGCCTGGGAGTTTGCCTTCGGGAAACCTCACGTTCAGTAAGTCTGATGTTTCACCCTGACGTGGCTCATGCCACGGTCATAATCACTCCAGTGAAAAACATTCATTGACCGTGGACATTCCTGAAGTAATGGTGCAGAGAACTTGGAACTGAGTGGCATGCTTCTAATTGGGGAATTAGAAAATCCGAAGCACAAGTCAATGGGAGGCTTAACCTAAAAATTAATCAGAGGGCAGCACTGGGCTCGGGCGCTGAGGTGTCCTGCTCTGTATGGGACAATCACATGGAGAATGTCTTTCATGCTGAGCTCACCAGGAGACTCTTACCTGTTTTCTGGATCCTGTCTGGGTCCATGAAAACAAAGCTGGACTATGGAGACTGATAGTGAAAGCAAAGTGTTGTAGAAAGCTCTCTGGAAGTCTTAAAAATTAGAGAAAGTGGTAGCATTGGTACCTACATGTGGGGATTCACCCAGTCTTCCCTTGGTTGTTCTTGAAGAACTAAAACCTTAAATGGCAAAACATTAGACTGTCTGCTTTGGGCATGTAAATTTAAGAATTTTAAGTAACAAAAAGAATTATGAATAATGAGGAAAAATTAATAAAGAGGGAGGAAGTGATTCTTTACAATTAAGAAAGAAGACCATAGTTTCTGGATAGTGAACAGCTATGGCACAGTGTTTGTGTGAGACCCCAGGGCAATCACTTAGCCTTTCTGCCCCCATATTTACATCTGTAAAACGGAGATAAAACTATTCGTGACAGATTTGAAGGTGCTTGGAAAACACTTTGAAAGACCTTTAGACTTGCCAAGCATTGTTGCTTCTGTATTATGTAGAGAAACTCAGAAAAGTAGAAGGCCATAGATGAGAGGCTCCAAAAGGTTATTTCACAGCAGGGAGGAAGGGACCAGAGTTCAATGTCAGACTGAGGTGCATTGGTAGAGATAATAAAGAGATGGCAGAGATGTGTAACTGCAGCTGGGCCTTGTAGATTTCATAAAAATGTAAAAAGGGAGAACAGAAAGAATGTGCAGCTCTGTTTTGCTCAGAAGGGAGGTGTATTAGACACGTGCACTGTGGCAGCAGTGGCTGTGCCCTTCCCAGAAGCAGTGCCCTGAGCTGGGCTGTCTGGCTGTTTGCTAATCTGGAATTGCTTGGTGGAAAGGGGTTATTGATTCTTGGGGAGAGGAGAGGGAGGATGCTGCCCACTGCAACACAAAGCACGTTTATCTAATAGGCTGATGACTCATGAAAGATAACATGTTATCCTAATGTAATGTCTGTTATCAAGTTATTTCAACACTAATAAAAAGAGAGATGCAAGCTGCTTTATCAGGAACCTCTACTTTAACCAGTCCTGTGTGTACACCCATGCAAGCAGTGACACAAACCTATGTCCAAAAACATCAGAGCAGATTAAGGTCAACCTGAGGATCACATTAGTAGTAGCAGTAGTATTTAATACATAATATCTAATATATTGCATATTATACATAATTTATTATAAAAGTTATTGTTGATATTTTTCTCGTTATTATAATATTTTAAATACCGCTCTATCCGTCCCCCTCCTAAAGGGGCAGGGGAGAGAAAATACAACAAAAGGCTCGTGGGTTGAGATAAGGGCAGGGAGAGATCACTCACCAACTACCACCACGGGCAGAACAGACCCAACTTGGGGAAATTAGTTTAAATTATTACCAATCAAATCAGGGTAGGGTAACGAGAAATGAAACCAAATCTTAAAAACACCTTCTCCCCACCACTAACTTCTTCCCAGGCTTAACTTTATCCCTGAATTCTCCACCTCCTCTCCCCCAGTGGCACAGGAGGACGGAGAAAGGGGGCTGTGGTGAGTTCATCACACGCTGTCTCTGCTGCTCCTTCCTCCTCAGGGGTTGAACTCCTCACGCTCTTCCTCTGCTCTAGCATCAAGCCTACAGTTCTCCACCAACTCCTCCAGTGTGGGTTCCTTCCCACTTCTTCTTGAACTGCTCCAGCATGTATCCCATCCATGGATATTCCTTCAAGAATAAGCTGTTCCAGCTTATGTGGGGTCTCAAGTCCTGACAGCAAACCTGCTCCAGTGTGGAGCAGGAGTGGTCCTCTCTCCACTGGTCCACAGGTCCTGCCAGGAGCATTGGCTTCCCACAGGGTCACAGCCTCCTTCAGGCATCCACCTGCTCTGGTGTGGGGTCCTCCATGGGCTGCAGGTGAACCTCTGCTCCACCATGGACCTCCAGGGACTGCACCATGGGCTGCAGGGGCATCTCAGCTCTGGTGCCTGGAGTACCTCCTTCCCTTCCCTCTTCACTGACCTGGGGTCAGTGAAGGCTGTTTCTCTCACATAGTCTCATTTTTCTCTTCTCTGGCTGCAGTTCCCATTTCACAGGGGTTTTTCCCCTTTTCAATATGTTACCCCAGAGGTGCTACCACCATCACTGATGGGCTCTTGGTCAGTGGTGGGTCCATCCTGACGCCAGCCTGGCATTGGCTCTGTGGGACACAGGAGAGGCTTCTAACAGCTTCTCAGAGAAACCACCCCTGTCACCCCTCTGCTACCACACAAACCCAGTACAGTTTTATAAATGGAACCATTATACAAGAAATACCCACGTCTCTTGAGCTCTGACAGAGATTTTTGTTCAAAGCAGTGGCAGCCAGTACCTCCCATCAGGGTATAGTGGTGCTCTGAAGTGGGGTGGAAAGGAAAGAGAAATCTTCAAAGTGTGAGACATTTTATTAAGGAAAGGCTAAGAATATCACATCTCTGTCAAGTGTTTAGTCACACAAATTATAGTAATATCAAAAGGTATAATTTATGCAGTACAGTTCTACTAATTGGCACAGACTCTGGTGGAGCCAGAAAGGTGCCACTTGAGCAATTGTCCTGATTATTGGAGACTCATAGGAATATGCTTTTCAAATCTACATAAGAGATAGAAGGATACTGGGGTCAGCATCTTTATCCTCCTCTGTCAATGCTGGATAATTCCCTGCAGTATTCTTCCTATCTCTAAATTACTCATATGATAAGGTTTATGCCATCTTCCTTGAAGATTTTTTTCCCGGTCTAATAGATTTCATTGTCAATTTACTAAAAGCGTCTTCTGCCTAATTTCCCCACTTTCCCCCAATTTACATACCAACCCTTATTACTGCTCTGAAATTAAGCCCTTTCTTTCTCGTCCATGTTCCTGGTTTTGGAGTCTCAATATGACACCACCAGTCACCTCTTCACCCATCATTCTGCCAACCGAAACACTACACAGTCAATGTCTAAGAAGTGATCTCTGGTGATTCTGGGTGCCCCATTTTTCTAGTGACTGATCTACTGTAGCTCAAGGGGCCTGACTAAGCCCTTTAAGTTGTTTCTGAGCTGCTCACTTACAAACTGGGGAGCATGGGATAGCTACCTGTGCAGAAAGTGTGGCCTGACTCTCAGCTCTCGTGGGCACTTACTGCTCAGGTTGACACAAGTTGGGTGTGTGGAAGATGAGCAGGGCTCTGAACTCTGCCACGCTTTTGACTTCAAGAGACTGCAGCTCTAATGGAAAAATCCACATTTTTCTGGAATTTCTAAAATAATTGTTAACACTTTTAACTTCAACACAACTCATTTAGGAGCCATGATGAGAAATAGAATGGAGAGAGGCTGTAGCTCATGAGTTTGTACCAGAGTAGTACAACTCCTTCTGCAGGCCACACTGTTTGAAGGGGTGAGGGGTGCCATTTTCCACACAGCTAACAATCCCACCTGAAATTTCCTCTTTAGCAGCCATCACAGTTAAATTACTCTGCTATCGCTTTAATTAAAAATAAAATAAAATGAAGTGACTCTGCTTCCCATGAGAAGAAAGACATTGCTAGAAACAAATGCTTGTGTTTCTTCATGAAAGATGCCTAGTCTGGATGAAACATTTTTAGTCACTCTGGATGTGTTTCTGTTCATCTCTTGTGGAGTACCTGGAGGAAGGGGGTGGAAGTAAGCGCAGAGCATCACAGCCCATCTTCCTACCACAAGCCTAAGTGACAAAGCCCATAATTATACAGAGGGTTATCATAGAATCATTTAGATTGGAAAAGACCTTTAATAAGTTGTTTCAAAACGCAGTTAAATCAGGGTTTTCTGCTCACCCTGTATAAGCAAAGCACTTCTGATATGGTATAGTCGTGGCCTGTTGCTGAAGACCCTGGTAAGAAGGAGTGGGTTTCCTCGCAGACCACTTTTCCCAGTGCCCAGCTTACAAGGATACAGGTCAAATAGGTCCCACTCTCCCAGCTTCAGACACCCGCAGCAGAAGCACGGGTGTGGAGGAGGGTGAGCAGAGAGGCTCTCCGAAGCACGGAGCTGTAGTACTTGCCAGTAGCAGGCTGCATGCGAGTCCATTTGACTGTGCAACCCTTGTGCTGAAGTGACCCTGACGCCAAAGTTCGTGTTTCTTTGTTTTCAGTCCCATTTTGGTGGAGTGCCGAGCTGCATGCAACCGCTGTCGTTGTCAAGTGTCGTTAATGAATAACCAACGACTTTCGGAAAGCACTAATGAACAAGTGCAATTTCTTTTCTCTATTGTTGGGTTTTTTGTAAAGTTGCTCAAATGCTCTCAGGTATGGCGGCCCTGAACGGAGGACTCGGCGCGACGGGCCTGACGAACGGCACGGCCGGCACGATGGACGCGCTCACCCAGGCCTACTCAGGAATCCAGCAGTACGCCGCCGCCGCGCTGCCCACCCTCTACAGCCAGAGCCTGCTGCAGCAGCAAAGCGCCGCGGGCAGCCAGAAGGAAGGTAAGTGCCCACACCACCGAGCCACCCGCAGCCAAGCCAGGGCGGTGTCTTCACCTGAGTGAAAGAGCTCAGGTAGTCTAATCTGTGGCTTTTTTTTTTTTGTTTTCTTCCAGTTTTTTCTCCCGTTTAGTGTTGTTGCCTTGTTTAACCTCCGCTTTTTAACCATCTGTCCTTCGACTTACACCTTACCGACCGTCCTTTCTGAGTAATAATAATAATAATAATAATGATAGTAATAATAATAAACTGCAGTTTCACAGAATGTTCTGAGTTGGAAGGGACCCACAGGGATCATCGAGCCCAACTCTTAAGTGAAGGGCCCATACGGGGATCAAACCCACAACTTTGGTGTTAGCACTCAAACCCACAACCTTGGTGTTAGTAGCACTACGCTCTGACCAACTGAACTAACCTCAGGCTTCAGATTAATGTGACCTGTAAAGCTTCTTTAAATAAGAATAGGAATTTTAAGGTCTGGTCTGGCTGGATTTTTGCAAGCACTCTCCAAGCCCAGCAGTCCTCTCCTGAGATGCAGTGGCTGAACTGCACAAATCCTGTTGCTGGATAAGAGCTTCAACTTGAAATTTCTCTTCCATAAGGACATCCTCTCATTTCACAGAGTATTCTGAGTTGGAAGGGAACCCACAAGGATCATTGAGTCCAACTCTAAAGGGCCCATATGGGGATCAAACCCACAACCCTGGTGATAGTAGCACTATGCTCTGACCAACTGAGCTCATATAAAAGCATTTACTAACTACCGTATAAAAAGGTGCTGCTGACAAAAATCATCCCTTCATGGGTGCAGTTTTCTCTTCTGGTTTCCATTTTCCATTATAATGGAGTTGATCTGATTAAGTTTAAGGTTTTGAGCTAATGACAAGATCCGTTTTCACTTTGAGTGGTTCTTTGCTTAATTGTGGGTCTTGTGGGGAAGCAAATAAGTGAATGATTGCCCCCTCTCCCAGCACCAACAGCAAATAAACCTCAGGAAGTTGTTGCTGAGAATAAATGAATATTAATTACAAGATGTTTAGGAAAATGAGGTTACCTTTATCCCCTCTTCCCTTCCCCTGCACACTCCCAGGCATTCTGGGGGCTTGTTTCTCTTTTCATGGCTTTTTCTCATCCTAATTTCCAGTTAGTTCCAGAAAGACAGGAAAATGCTGCATGCTTTCTAAGACTGTATCTGTGTTGTCACTGCTGTTCCTTGCCAGGGATAAGCTTTGCAAATAAACCTAGTATAATATCCTCAAGAGAAATCTTTTTTATCCTCTTCTGAAATACTACTTTGTACTGTTATGGGATGTGTTTCCTAGGAAGACAAATTTGGCATTCCCCCAGACAGAGACACTGGACTTAAAATGTGTATTTTGTCTGATGTCTCTTCTTCATTTACTGCTAACAGCTTGGATTATTTAAATGAAAGGATTTTAAATTTTTTTTTTTGATGTTTTCTACATTTGTCTTTCACCTTGGGCACTTTGGTCAGTGACAATAGACTATTTGACACCAGAAAAAAATTCTTTATTTGGTGTCATTGCAAGATACACAGTGGATGGCAGTTTGATTTCTTTTCCATTTTAATTTTTTCCTCTTTAGAAACATTCCAATCAGCTTTAGGCTTATTTTTTATTGTTATGAATCGGCAGCAAGCCTTTTAAAATACAGTATTTTTTGTTGTTTATTTTTTTTGTTGTTTTGTTTATATCTGTCAGTAAGGAGTTCAGTTAAAGTGAGTGAATTCAATCACTGAATACTGGCAACAATGTTTTACCTCTTACTATGATTTCTAATGGAATGGTGAAGAGTCTGGAGTGGCTGAGGATAAACAAGTACTAGAGAAAAATCTATATAAGTATTAATTGCTGAAACATAGTGAACTGCCTCATGCATTTGCTCTTAAATGTTGTTCAATAAGGGTTTTTATTACTATTTTAAGAAATATTATTTATTGGAAATTATCGTTTACTTGGGGTAAGAAAAAATAAGTTTCAGGTGACAAGTTATTTTCATCTCTTTTTTTTCCCACTCCCCAAAAAAATGTGGTTTTTTTCCCCTAACCCATTTATCCCCTCCTTTTGGGCAAACACTGCAACCTTTTCCTGCAGGCTGAGAGAGAGCAGCCAGCCTGGTTCTTCTGTATGGGAGAGGCGAGGCTTTGTGGCTCAGCTGCAGAAGGAACCCATAAACCTGATGTTCACTTCCCTCTCCCTCTCCAGAAAACCAAGGATGTCACATCTGAGGCACATTTAGGTTCCATTAAGCAAGGGAATACTTAATCAGCTTGTTCTACAAGTGTTTTTTCCAGAAATGTTTGTTCCTTCGTGTACCACTTACGCTCCTGGAGCCTGCATGGGAAGGCCCCGTGTCTGGCTCCGTCATCTGTCATGTTCTTCCTGGCATCCACTGCTCATTTCCAGGATGTTACTGTAAAGGGACACTTGAGCTAGGGAAAAAAAAAACCTATTAGTGCTAGCGTGAATGTTTTAACCTACAACTTTAATAATGCATATCTCAGATTTTGTCTGTAAGACAAATATCCGAAGCACCTTTGAGTTTGCACCTCTCTTTGCAGACTGAACAGGCTAAAGCTGCTTTAATTTCAAGCCAACTACTTAATTTCGAACTTCTTTAAAATACTTACTTTACAAAGTTTCTTCCAGGAGGCAGAGCTTTCTATGGGGAATTCGTATTAAAAAAAACCAAAAAAAAAAAACCTCATTTTGAAATGAGTCAGTACAAATTTAATTCTGAGTGTCTTTCTGACTTCACTGACTTCCAAGTCACAAGGTGTGCTTTGTCTTATTACTTTTATTCCCATCTCCACCATTTTCCTGCCCTTTGAGTTTAAGTCTGTGGTACTGAAATCTGAGCTCAGCTCATTCCCTTTCCATAAGTTCCTGCACCTGGAATTAAACTGCCAAACCTGTGCAGGCATTTGAGGCAGCAGAGGACTCCTTGTGCAGTTCTTGGGGTATTTTGAGAGAGCAATATGTTATTCTAACCCTAATTATACTGCAAGACACTCATACAAATTGAAGAAAGGGGATGAATTTTATTACTTCTGTAGCAGAGTTATGAAATAAGTGCTTTTCAAAGTAAACACTTCTCAAGATGGGATGCTCTAGAGAGCTGCATTTCAGCTGTACTCCTTTGATGATCCACTTGCTTTTGTTCCTTCGAATTTGGAAAATGAAATGCTTTCTGACCATCATCTTCAGTAAGTATTATGGAAAAATAGATTAAATGTAGCACTTGTGATGACTGTTTTCATACTTCTTTTTTTTTATTATTTATTTTATTTTCCTAAAGGTCCAGAAGGGGCAAACCTCTTTATTTACCACCTCCCCCAGGAGTTTGGAGACCAGGACATTCTGCAGATGTTCATGCCTTTTGGAAATGTTATCTCTGCTAAAGTCTTCATTGACAAACAGACCAATCTGAGCAAGTGCTTTGGTATGTCAAATTTAATAAATCAAACAGTGAAAACCACATGCACTATACTGAAAAAGGGACTAGGAAAGAAAATTAGCAGCAATGTGAGAAATGTCATACTGGAATCTCGTTCCAATAATAATGGACTGTTAATCCTCAAATGAGCAGGAAGATGCACAGACAAACTACTTCTAACTGAAAATTGGATATGAAAAAAACAATAATAATCTTCCAGTCTGACATCTCGCATGAATGTGTCAAGTACATGAAAGTAATTACACCCTATGTGAGGGAATGTCATTTAGTATACTATTAAACTGCCTTATTATGGATACCTAATTATTCTCTATTGTATAGCTGAGCCACTTAAAAACATTTATGTTTAACCCATTACTTCTACATTACAGGAATTTCTTTCTTCTGAATTAAGTACAAGATTTTGCAATTAGTGACTGAATGGTGTGTGCTTGTAGTTCAGAACATTTTACAGACAATTGATGTCTAGATGTGCAGCTCCAGCTGTTGTGGGTGGCTTCCAGGGTATTATGGAAGGTGGCATCTCCCTCTCCTTAGGGCAGGGATGAAGGGAGCCTCACAAGGTCAGTGTCAGGTTTTCTAGGGAATACTTGCAGCTGTCAGAAAATTGGATTACAGCAGAGGAGAAGACGATATGTTCGTATAAAAGTAGTTTTAGGGTTGACTAGGAGGGCTGATGTCTTTTGAATAGCAGAGATGGACCAGTTCAGTTTGGTGGTTTGATGGAGTGGAGTAGGGAATGTGAGTGAGTGGCAATCTGTTAGAACATTGGTCTAATAATTGTGGTCTTATGCAAGACACAGGGAGGATCTAGGAGTAGGAGAGACTCTCTTAAAGATAAGTTTTATAAGGTTTGACGTAAAGTATTGGAGCATCCTTAAAACTGACAGTTCTTTCCCGGAGTGAAGGAATGCAGCTGTATATATGACAAAAGAGTAACCAGTTCAGAAAACCCCCTAGTTTCCAAAATTCCTTTGTACTGCCAGTGCTGCTCTTTGCCCAACACCCTCCCTTGGTTCTGAAGTGTCCCCATGTGAAGTGTCCCCATTAACCATAATACATGTTTATAAGCTTGCATAACATTACTGGTTTGGTTTTTTTTGAAATCTGAGTTTTGATAAAATGTGTCTGTCTAAGGCTTTGTCTTCCCCAGGGCTATTCAAGTGCCCATTTTGAAAGGGTTTGAGTATAACTAAACAGACAGCACCCAAACATGAGGAAAATTCATCAAGTTACTCAAAAATACCTACTGCACCAGAATACCTTGTCACTGTCTGAGTGTTTTGCACTTGAAGACGAGCCCTTAGTACACTTGCAAAGTTGATTTGGTTCATAGAAAGGGTGTGACGTTCTTTGTGCATTTTCCTGTAGTCTTTCCATTTGTTTTTGAAGCATTCACCTCTTTAGGCTTTGCAAAAAAATTATTCATATCTAGATGAGTATAGTCCAGCCTTTGTCTGCAATGGGTTAAAACAGTCCCTCAGGCTGTTGCAAATTTGAAAAGTGGAATTGAAATGGACTCCCTATTGATCTGGAGCCAGTTCTCTTAGTAGGTTGGGGTTACAAAATCATTTTTGAGGTCTCCAGGAATCTTGATGAAATGTCAAATCAAGCTACGTTAATCGAAATGCAGCAATTGTAGTGACTGCTGAAAGAATGTAAATTAGTTTGGGCAGGTGGCTCAGTTCATCAGCTCACTTCCCATACTTGCTTTTTGTAGTTTTCCTTTTATTCTTTGATTATCTACTTACATATTTGTCTGGATTTATGGGACACAATTTACCTAATTTTGAGTGATACACCAAGGTGATCTTCTTTGAGGGAAAATGAAGATGTCAACACCCAATGGATGTAGCAATCCTCTGTCTTTTTGGTTTAAGGCAGCTTTCACTGATATTTCCATTTCTCATTGTTTATTCACAGATATTCTGCCAGCAGGGCAGAATAAAGCAGTTCTTCTTTAAAAACTAAAAGTAGTGAAGTAGCAGGGGAAGTTGAGTTTTTTTTGATTCAGTAGGTGACAACTTGGTGATGCTGCCAATCACAGGCAAAGCCAGAATTAATCCTGCTGTTTTAACATGCTGGCATACTCTTGTATGTACTTCCTCAGCTTTATTAGCAGGAATCACGTCTTTGTTGTTTCGGTCTCATAGTTGTGTTTTAAAAAGCTTTATTTTTTTTTCTCTGTCCTTCCACCCAAAAACTAGGGCTGAAGAACCCATTTCTCTCCTGTATCATTGATGGTAATTGCTCTTGGTACAGTTTGGGTTTGGGTTTTTTTGTTGGCTTGGTTTGGTCTTTTTTCCTCCTTGTAGTAATAATAATAATAATGGGTTTCAGTTGCTTAGTGCTTCCTACTCCAGAGTTTCCAATCTCCTGCCGATTGGAGGAGGAAATCAAATTACAGATGAGAACAGGTTAAACATCCAAAAGGCGTAAAGATTGTCCAAGGCTGTCCACTGGCAGAACTGGGAAGGGAAGGTGCATTCTGAGAGAGTTGCAGGGTAGTGACATACAGTGATGAACTTTCATGTAACACTGCTTCTCAAAATGAAAAATTCCTGTTCTTTGCAGAAAGTGGACTTTGGGATTTTTTGCTTTCTTGTCCACCTCTAAATGAATGCTCAAAGGATTTAATGGTGATAAGGATGACAGGACAGTCTGTTTGCATCTGGGAGTGCTCTTCCATGAGTTCTCGTGGGCTTTAGTTGATTCAGCAGACAAAGAGTTTCACTCTTCAAGCTTATCTCTTGTCTTTCATAAACCTTAGAATAAGAAAAATGAGATATGTAAAAGTAAGGCAGGAGATGGGAGACCCAGTGACATCAGTGCATAAATGCAGTTTGCCTCCTAGCAAAATTCCTACTTGAATGATTAAAAATATTAATCCTGATTATAAAGATACTTAGAGATCTAAAACAAAAATCAGAATTGTCATAACAGGGACTTTGTGAAATGATAAGAAACATCATCCCAACCTCATGTAACCTGTGGTTTAAAATTCAGACAAAAATGATGAATGTGTGCAATCAGAAAAATACAAATAGAGGGAAAAAATGCCAGATTCCTCTGTAAGCTTTATAAAGGAAGATTCTCAATAAGGAAGAAGATGAGAGTGTAACAGGTTAATGCAGGTACAACATTCTGTGTAAAGAGACAAATTATGAATCAGAATAACAATTGAATTACATGGGCTGATGCCACTGATGCAGCACAGAGGTTGTGTGTTTGAAGCTATTAAAAAGACCTAGAATGAGGCGACTTGTCTCACCTCCCTAGAAGGTAAGCATAGCCTGAGCTAATTGTTCTTCTGTCATCAGTGGAGGTGTCTACATTGGTGACAAGAATGGTGGGTGGAAAAGCCACCTCTGGGTGTGATTCCTTCTCTTCATCCACCATCTAAGTGTCTGGTTTAGATCACTTTTTTAACTTCGAGGTGGATAAAACTAGATAAGAAGAAAAGGAACTAAGGTGATGAGAAGTTCATTGCAGAAGACTGTTCTGAATGCATTTGAGAGAATAAAGTGAAGGTCAGGAAAGCTGTAGAGGGAAATGCTGAATTCTCAAGGTAGGTAAGAGTAGCTACATCTCAGTTGTGGAGCACCTGCCTGGAAGATGCTACTGCTGCCTTCCAACTCATGATAGTTCCCTTTTCTATCCCTGAGGCAATCCTAGAGATCAAGGCTGAGATCTGTGAGCTGTGGAAGGAGACACAGGACTGCAGAGCTAGGACGATGATTGGAGTCATGGTAACAGATAGGATCTCCTAGAAGAAAATAGGGGAAAGGAAGGAAGAAAAAGTGATGAAGCTCCTAGGATATGGCCGTTACATTAAGAGGGAATGATATAGTGGAGAAAGTGAGTAAGTGACAAGAGTTACTAAAACCAAGGAAGGTATGGAGGAATATTTATTATTCCTTAAAGAGATAACAAATAATCAACCACAGAACAACATGGATAGAGCATATGGGCTTTGGCCAGGAGAAGATCTGCAGAGATTTAAGTGGGAGGTGTTTTTGAGTGGAAGGAATGGAAGTTAGGCTGAGTTGTTCAGAGAAGAGTCTTAAGTTAAATAGTTTGGTGAAGTTGATTTAAGGTGAAGCCACAGAGATGGTCTATGAAGGAGAGCAGCTGGACAAGGACCAGATGACTTGATAATAGTGTTTTTTCTTTGTAATGGGGAAAGTGTAGCATTCTGATTCTGCAAATGGAAGAGGGCAGTAGTGCAAGGTCAACAAAAACCATAAAAGAATCAGTTAAAGTAATGGGAAACAGGGGTTATGAATCCAAAAAGTACACAGACTCTAAGCACAAATGAATAAAGCTCGTTTGTGGAGGAGAGGCACTGAAAAGCCTATGTGTTAGGACTGAAAACAAAGTGTGTGGCATCCATGCTGTAGGAGAATGAAGGGATATGTGTTAAGGCAAATTCAAGAGGAAAGGAGAGGGAGCATTTCAAAGCAGATGCATAACAGCAGGCTGAGTACAGTAATAATTAGTCCGAGCTGAGGCAGAGCAGCAGTTAGGCGAGATTTGCAATTACAAGTGGGAGGCCCAGATATGAAAATGAATGTTGAGCTTCCAGAATCAGAGAGATTTGAGTATATTATGAACAGAGCATTTCTAGTCTCCCAGGGAGAAGAAAGCTGAGCCAGGCCAGCCATTCTGAATTACCTTAGCAAGCATTATCCCCCTAGTTAGTGCTCGCAACTGAGGAGCAGAAGATCTGGAGTTCTCATCAAGCCCTGCCATTGTCTTTACGATGGTGCTTAATTCTGATGCTTGCACAGCCCTCTAGGGACCAAGAGGCTGAATTACCAAACATTAATGGACCTTAAGATCTGTAAAAATACAAAATACTAATATTGCAACTGTCCTAGGCTAAGTCCAAGGAGATGAGTGTTCCATATCACACCTGAACTCACATCCAGGTGTGCCAATGGGTATAGGGAGTTTGGGGTTTGATTCTGTAACCAGGCTTTCTGTTTTAGCTTCCCATCTGCAGGTTGGCCTAAATAGTGCTTCCTAATAGTCTGGGAGGTATGTAGATATTACTCTGAAAAGTGTCACAGTAATAAATATCTTCAGTCTCTAAGGTAGGTAGATAAATAACAGACTGAAAACTGCATTGCACCAGAGCTGGCCAACTGCATCCCAACTAGTAAAGAAATATTATGAAGGTAAAGAGGGAGGCAAAGGAAACGGGAGAGGAAATGGGATATGAAATGTGCTGAAAGAATTGAAAGCAAGGTAAATGTATCAAATAAATAGTGATAATAAAAACCTAACAAAATGCCCTCTGACATTTGTTCTAACCTGTAGTTGACTTTCTCTCCCACCTCTGTTCTGTGTCTCCTAGGTTTTGTTAGCTATGACAATCCAGTCTCTGCACAAGCTGCTATCCAGGCTATGAACGGCTTTCAGATTGGCATGAAACGCTTGAAGGTGCAGCTGAAACGCTCCAAAAATGACAGCAAACCTTACTGATCTTAACCCCAGATGCTTACTGCTCTTATTTTAGCTTTCTTAGGGTAAGTCCCATGAGCAAACCTGTCCTCTGCAGGGGGGTTAAGAAAGAACATAGAGCCAACCTTCACCAAGAGACAGTTATTTTTACAGTTACCACTTCCATTTCCCCACTTGTCCTTATTACACTTGGCTCCCATTTCCTTGCCAAGTAATTACTGAGTTGTGTTACTGTATTTTGTTTTGCAGCATAATTTATCTCCTTTTTGAAACAAAAAATAAACGTCTTGAAATTCAAAACAGCACACACACACACACACAGACACAAAAAATGTGCAATTTAACTCTGTGAACCCTGGTGCCATTAGCACACAATAAAAGTTGTTTTCTATGGATGGATCGTATTTTACCAGGGTGGCACCAGCAGTTTATAGGTTAAACAAAATGGCCTCATGCCAGTTGAAGCACTTACTTTGCAACAAAAATTGAAACAAGTCTTTCCACTACATCAACTTGTTTTTTGAGAAGATTTGATTTTTTTTTTTCTGTTCAAATCAACGTATTGTTATATATTAGTCTGATTTTACACTGGTCGTCTTTATATTTCATTTTTTTTAAGTTCTTGTTTTTTTTGGAAAGGATTAATGTAAAAAAGATTTAGAGATCTGTTTCTAAAGCTACAGGGTTTAAAATAAAAAAAAAATAAAATAAAATGAGTGACAATACTTGATGTTTCTTGAGAGATAAATTTAATAATAATAAAAAAAAAAGAAAGCCACAGGCCTGTAAATTTTATTTGTAAAAAGCATTTCTATTTTTATACAAAATTTTTACTGCCTCAGAAATAATGGAATTTATTTATTGCCTATTGTTAACTTATTGGATACCTAAAGAGCAGCTCTCTATGCTAGCTAGATCCTTTGAAGTAGTCTCTAGAGTAATTGTGCCAAGAATGGGCGCTTTTTCACTGTTGAACCCTCCACCCTTTACAGTTCATACTTTTATCCTCTTGTTTGTATTTGTCTGGTTATTTTGTTTGTAGTTTCCATTACCTGGTTTAAAGTTTGGTTGTCTGACCCTTCCCTCCCCTCCCTGTACCTTTCTGTTACATTTGTAGAAACTGGTTCTTTCCTCTCTTTTCTCCCCAAAGAGGAATCCATTCTCTCTGACTCCTTTCAGATGGATCCTTTTGGGGTTCCATTGTGCTCTTGTTGACAAGTATTGTAAGTTAATGCAAATTATGTGAACGGCTCATAGGCTCTACCTGATGAAAGATTTGCATTGGTTTTCTCCTGCACCCATAAAAGTGATTTTGTTTGTGCTGCATAGATTCTGTGTAACTTTTTTTCCTCTTCCTTGTTTTTTCCCTAGACATCTCCATGCCCGTTAGCCCATCGTTTGCCTAGCATGTCCCTGTGGCGTCTCAAAAAAAAAAAAAAAAAAAAAAAGTTTCATCGTCCCGTCATTGTTTCTGATGTCTTTCTGACCTCACATCATATTTGGTTCTCCTACTGACCTAGTTTGACCTTTGAAATTTGCATGTGACCTCATCTAGCTATGAATTCTGGGAAGTCAATGTGAAAAAACATTGCTGCATTCATGCAAGACTGAAATTTATTATTAGATAAATTAATGATAGGATTTAAAAAACAACCTGTGGCAAAATGTTTTTTCTTTCTTTCCTTTTTTTTTTTTTTCTGTTCTTTTTTTTCTCTTAGTTTTTGGTTTTCTTCTTTCCTTGGAGAGTTTTTTTGTTTGGGTTTTTGTTTGTTTTTGGTTTTGTTTTGGTTTTTTGGTTTGGTTTGGTTTTTTTTTCTTTTTTTTTTCTTTATGGTTGGTTCTCGGTTTTGGTTTTTTCATTTCGTAAAAAAAAATAAAAAAAAAAACAGACTTGAAAGTATTATACAGGGATTGGCATTCTGCCTGGTCACTGGTGACAATAGCAATATGTGTCCAGAGGCACAGAATGTTGGTTTCTAACAGACTACTTCCAAAACAGTTTGAGAAATAAAACTGTCTGATTTTAAGTCTCTAGAGGTCTGTAATAGTTTTTACATTTTTCAGGCAGTGTAAAGTTTTTTGATAAGGCCATTTTAGGTGGCTCACTTTCTCATTAAAGTATATATATAGAACCACTTTTTGTAGATTAGTATAAGAAAATATTTACCCTGTTTTAGGGCAAATGCTACCTACTTGTGTCACCTTTTGCTGAACTGACTCACAGTTAGACAATCCATGGTTTAATGCACATGAAATTACCTATATTTTATACTGTTTCAATGTACAGAAGAAAGGTTACTGTAAAATGTGTTACGTTGGTGCTTCTGTGAATTAAGTTGTGGTTTCATCATGAGTCTTATGGTCTTAAGTGTTCTATGTTTATAAAAGACGAGTTTAAAATTGGTTTACTTGAACAACAAGAACAAAAACAAGATTCAAAAAAATAAAAACACAAAAAAAAAAAAGTTGTTTGCTTAAAAAAAAAAATAATAATTTCATGTGAAAAATGAAAAAATATTCCAGAATAAGTTTGTGTTGGCTTGTGACGCATTGATGTCATTTTTTTATTGTGAACAATTTAGGTGTGTTTGTGTTCAGCAAAATGTGATCGGTTTTTCTTTTAAAGAAAAAAAAAATCAGTGAAACTATAGTGCCAAATTCCAAAGGTACTTTCTTCCTAGAGCTTCAGTGTGTTTCTTGTGTGAAGTAATTTGATAACATGGGTATTTTATTATGTGTTTTGTATAAATCCCTAATATTTAAAGAAAAAAAGAGGTTAAAAAGTTTGTTAACTTGCTATCCTGTGGTCTTGTTGCCTGAAATTGTTATTGTTTGTTATTTCTCTTTGATGTTTTTTGTAAAACATTGTATAAGTGCCCATGTTTCACTTTTTTAACCACTCTGCACACATCAATGCTGTGAAAGCAAACCTCACTATGTATTTTCTTCATATTGTATGGAAACCTCTAAGGTGAGAAAGTTTTGAACTTTTAACCCTTTCCACCCAGAGCTGTCTTGAGTGTTAATACCTTTTATACATTCACCATTTTGCTGTTTATTTTTATATATATATCTATATCTATAAATATATATATACTTAGTTTTTTGTGGTTTATTTAATACATGGTTGAAATCAGAACAATGCACAGGGCAGATCTGAAGGACAAAAATATTTTACTGCTGTCTAAATTTCTTCTGTATCTATAACTAAAATTATTTAAAACAGTAATTAACTTGTGGTTTTCCTTTTTAGATTTTGGGGATTCTGTCTTTTCTTAAAGAGCTTTTAATATGCTGCTGGAATATGCTATTCAGTATTAATAAAATAAAAGAAAAAGAAAACAATTCTTTAATTATCTATTCTGTGAGCCACTCCCAACCAGGAGCGGTCAATCCACCATTTGAAAACCTTGAGGGGGAAAAAGAAAAAAAAAAAACAAAAAAAGAAAAAAATAATATTTTTGTAATTTAAATAAATGAACTTTTGCTTAAATCAGATGCACTAGATCTTCCTGGGTGAAAATTCAGTGTGCACTGCAGTTAAACTACTTTTTATGGATAAAGTTTACATACACTGTAATGTTTGGTGTTATCTGCCATTATTTGTCACGGCAATATATTGGCTTACTCCTGCAGACACTCGTACAGAGGGGAGTGACTTCACTCGGCCCAGCAGTCCATGGGAATATCTGTGGGACTGATGTGGGTGTTTGCTGGAGGAAGCTCTGTGTAAGGAACCAGAAAAGAGATTGCTGGTAGCCCTTTTTACACTGCCTTGTAAGTCTGATTAGGTTGCATTTCTACCGCACAAGTAGTGACCAAACAACCAAATTCGGTTCTTTGCCACCGGTCTAGTGAATTCATTGCCAACCCAATGCGTGTGAGCAGCAGTACCTGCTACTGATCATAAAGTGCCATACCTTCTTCCACCTCCTAGTTCTACCCAATTCTATTTGAAGCCGCCTCAAATTCAAAAAACTAAGCCCTATATGAGCAACATCAGCTGGTGCACTCTTGTCTCTCATCCCCAACTTAAATGCTTCTTTACGTAGAGCCCTGGGATGGAAAGGACTAGCCTCTAGTGATGCAAAAAAGTTTCCTTCTTATAGCACATGCACTTATAAATAAATGATCTATACTTTTCTCACGTTTTTACTACTGCTGGGGCCTTCCTACACCCTTTGAGGGCTATTTTGTACTACTTGCAGCAATTGTGCGTATTCAAAGTATCATCTCACGTACGTTATATTATATATATGTACATATATATATATATATAATATGAGATCATCATTTGGATTGTTTAGACTGTTTCACTAATATTTCTCATTGTACCCACTGTCTAAATTTCTGAAGCTTTTTTAGATGCCCTGGTGTGTCCTGTGGGTTTACCAGTCCAGTTAGAGCGGTGATGCTTCTGGTCCTCAGGCAGTGTAACTCGGCACCGGGCTGCCCTGAATTACACTCCACGGGACATTGGCTAAGCAGTGGGAGAGGAGGAATGTTTCTGTACTTCCAGGCAACTGAGATGGCTCATTGCTTATAAAAGAGTCCATCTTGGGGGGGAAAAAAAAATTATTAAAAAATAACAGAAAATTCAAGTACAAAACCAAAAACCCAAACGTACACCTCCTGGGAGACAAATTATGTACCAGTTCTCTTTCAAAATATTGAAAGGATAAAGCTGCAAGGGTGCAAGGGCCTAATAAGAGAGGAAGTAAAACAAGGGAAATTGCTTTACAAAATTCTAATCAAAAGACTAGACTAGTTGTTTTTTCAAACAAATTAGCTAATTGCGATGAAATGGCAGTCCTCAAAGGAGTAACAAGTTCATCTTTCTTTCACCATAGGGGTTACAGTTCCTTGGCTTGTGCTACTCTGGAATCATTTTACTGTTTCTGTTTTTATTATCTTAAGTGCTAATTAACAAAAGGAAAAAATATCCTGTAGTTTCATTACCTTTTTGGATAATGTCATACAAAAAGAAAAAAAAAAAACAAACCTATGTATTTGTGTTCTTTTTGTGCTGTGAGAATTGTTGTTTGTAGATTAATAATACTATCATTTTGTTTAGAATTACGAACTAGTTTTTAAGTATTGTCTGAGAAAAGCCAAAGTTAATGCAATCTAGTGGAAACTGTAAGACCATTTGAGTATTGTTTCTGTTTTATTGATGCATTTGGATTTTGTTGTTTGATGGAATTTGAGCCAAAAAAAAAAAGAACAAAAAAAAATGAAAAAAAAAAAGCAGGCTTTCCTATTTCTACAACTTGATTGTACTTATGCATTTTGTACCAGTGGAACTTTTTATACTGGAGATTAAAAAACAAATGGAAATTTTTGTGGCTTACTCTCGTGGGCCCCCTCGATCATGACTGATTTTCAAGTTTGATTTCTGGACGGTAGAAAGAGAGTTGGTTTTGTTTCGAGAATTCAAAACTTTGGCTTGATTTCTTTTTTTCCCTTTGCTTATATCTAGTGTTTAGAATTTTGTCTTAACAAAAGCGGTAAGTTTCACTTTTTATTCTGTATCGTGCAGTTACACAATAAGGTAATTAGAATTAGGAGTACTCGGTCACTTTGCGTGGATAAATGTATTAGTTAAAACGTTAGGGGTTTGCTTTTTTGCTGTTTAGATCAGAGTTTTTTCTGATTCTTCTGTCCTCATTGTGAACATAACCGTGTAGTTGAAACAGTCAGACTTATTTTTGTAACGTATGTTATTGTGTGATGCAGTTTTTTGCTTCTGTCTCCAATATTAAACCATTTTCCTAATACTTGTCTCTCTACTTTGTGTGTTGTATTGTTGGTGGTCATTCTGTGTTGGTAATACATCTACACACCTCACTGTTTCACGTGCCTGTTTTTTTTTTTCTCTATTTGTTGGTTGTGTACAAAAGATACAGTCGATTCCACCTAAGTGAATAGCTGATTGGGGGGCAAAAGAGGATTTGTACATTTTAGACATGTTCTGGTTTCTTTGATATTTTTTTCTCTCTCTCTTCCTCCCCCTAGTCATGCCTTATCACTTGGATAATCTCTCGGAGCAGGAAGCATTTTAAATGAGCTTCTTGCAAAGTCCTATTCAAGGTAGCTTTTGTTAGCCTTTGAACTGCAAAACCTTCTGCACACAAACACACAGAAGTCACCTGAAAAGTTGGGTGTTTTTTTTTTTGCTTTGACATTTCAGTCAGTCTGGAAAATGTGGATTATTGAGATCAGTTCTTCCTAGTTGTTTAAAAAAAAAAAAAAATAATAATACTCTGCCACTGCTTTGCAGAAGCACATGAAACATTCAAGAAAAGGAGGATATAGCCTTGGGATTTCTTCCAAACTGCACAGTAATCTGATGGCATATGGCGTTAGTCAAACTCTCCTTAGAAACTAATCACGTCTTAACTAGGGCTGTGAGAGCCTGCAGAAGCCTACAGGTGATCGAGCTTGTTATGTGCAGTTATACATATAATACTTTGAAAAATAAAGTGAGCACAGGAAGACTTTCTATTAAAGCCAGTGGAAGTAAAAGGAGAAAAAAGAAAAATCACCAAAATAAAAGGAAGGAGAAATAAATGATTGAAAAAAGATCCCCCATTGTTCCAATGGGTGATAGTTTTGCTGTGGGCTTACAAAGCAGATCATTCTCAGCATTGGCTGGTAGTATTACACAAATCTCAAAAGGGACTGAAGAAATACCATAGCCCTTTTTTTCTCATTCTTTTTTACAGCTGGCTTTTAGCTTTTTTTATTTTTTCATTTCCTATAATTTTTTTCTCCTCACAAGAATCTCTCTGCTCTCCCCCAACCGGTGTCTACCACGACGAAATAAAAGCTGCAAAAGAAAAATCTATGTTGTTCTGGTTTACAAAAAGTCTCTTCTCTCCTCTGATTGCAAATACAAACCTTAAAATTTGGAGGGGTGGGGGGGGAAGCAAAACAAAACCAACCAAACCAAACCCAAGGAGGAGAGAGAAGCACTGGCAAGTGCTCTCTGGAATTCAAGCCATACGCCCCCATCCCTTTCCTTTGTCCCACTTTCTGTGATGCTCAGGAATCAAAGACCACTTAAAAGTGCTCTTATGAGACCCAAATGACACTCCTCCCTCTTGTCTCCTCTCCCCTGGTCTTTCTGGCACTCTGGCTTTGGCTCACACACACACACACAGCCCCCCTCAATACCGTCTTACTGGTCCTGGCGCACTGGGTGTATCCGTGTGGTGTCAGCAGCAACGTTGGTTCCTGCCTTTGGAAGACTTTTGAAATTTTCTGGTGGCTTGTGAGTTGGCCTGGTTGTTAACTGCTCAATGCACTTTTTTTAAAAAAAATTCTTTTTTTTTTCTTTTTTCACTTTTCCGTTTCCGTGAGAAGCAAACAAAGCAATGAGTCTGGAGCCCCAAAGAAGCTCCAGTGTCACCTTGCAGGGTCTGTTGTCAGGGGTCAGGGGTCCAAGCAACTCTAAGTTTAATCTAAAACCACAGGAGCCTGTAGCAGACAGCCCAGGCAGGAAAGCAGAACCCAATGGTCAGGCTGTATCCTGGGTCTTTGACACCTCTAGAGTTTATGATCCCGATTTGGATAATTTTGACATCAGTGGATTCAGTTAAGTAAGTCTTGACTTGCATGAATGATGAATCAGAATTGCTCTCTGGGGTTTTTTAGCTTGCTGTGGATGCTTTATTTTTTTTCTCTTTTTTTCCTCCAAACTTGGTCTTAGGAAAGAAACTAGAGCTTTGTGAAGGGTCTTTTCTTCCAAAAATACAACTGAAAAAAAAAAATACTTATACTGCAGTTGGGTTTCTTTTTAATACTCAGGGCTGAAAGACACAGGGTTTTCTTTCTTTCTTTCATTCTTTTTATTATTTTATTTCAACAATGGGGAAAAAAAATGAGTTCCTTAAAGCAATGCAGCTGAACAGTTTGTCCTGCTTAAACGCATGCTTTTAATTTCAATTATGTAAGGCACCTTGCAGTGTTAGCAAAATGTCTCTTTGTTAGCTATATGTGTATCGCCATGGGAAATTACCAAACTGTCACAAGACTTGCTGATTAAAGAATAGCCTGCCAGAGTGTGTGTGCCTTTGCCCAGTGTGACTCTTAGGTATTAGGCTAAGGAAAACAGTTTAACAAAATGTAGTGTGAATCATTCCTGATAAGTGAATAAAGCATTGTGACCAAGCAATCAGATTATTCACTTATCAGGAATCGACTGTACTGATAGTTTGCCTGATCGTTTTTGTTCCTCATCTCTGTTGTAGTTTCACTACTTTGCTGTGTTCTGTTTTTTCTCTCATGCTCTTAGCAAAATCACTGGGAATATCCCTTCGTGTGATCATGAAACGTGCTACTGAGTAACAAATAAAAAAAAAAAATTAAATATAAAAATGATATCTTAACAAAATCTATGCACTTGCTATCAGGAACACAATACTGGATGTGTCTTATATATATTGAACTATAATAGTATTCGATTTCTTAAATAAAGCTTAAGAAAGGATTCTGTTGTCTGTAAAATTTTATGAGCATTAAATGGAAAAAAAAATGTTTCTAGGGTTGGGCGCTTTTTGTTCTATGAAATCTCGCCGGGTGTGTGGTCTTTAACCACGCCCAGGCAAATGTTACCTAATTTGCTTGATATTTCATTAATAACAGAGACTTTGAAAATTAGCCTTGCTGAAGTCTGTGGGGAGAAAAAGTCTTACCATTCAGTGGCTTGCAGCAGAAGAGACTAAAATGCAGAAAATTAGATCTTCTTCTGTATTTGCAGAAGCAAATATGCGTGGTTTGCACTAAAATCCAAAAAACAGCTAAAATGTGTGAATCAGAAAACATCATGAAACAATACTGTATTACTTTCACAAACAGTACTACGCTTTTTGGTATGTGACTTTTTTTCCTCCTGATTCTAGATAGGTTTAGACTTAAAAAATTAAACCCCATATGCTCAAAATTCCACAGATTCCACACTGCAGGAAAAGCATCTTTTGGGGGAACATGTGGGGCTTACTGTACATTTCCTGTATCTGAGCCTTCTCTTAGGAAAACATTTTCACATCAAAACCCATTAATTAAATGGGAATTGAATAGGTGAAACTGTTGACTACACTGAAAAAATTATTCCTTCAATGGCTGTACATTTGCCACAAAATTGTAGATTTTAAACAATCAGATTTTTATGGAAATGCCCGTAATTCTTGTATTTATCAAACTTTCAATAATGTCAGCCTTTGGCAGAAAGATCCAGGAGAATGAGGGAAGGGGGGGGGGGAAAGGGGTTGCTTTCCTTTTTTTCTTTTGAACTGCATTACTGCCTCACTTTTCATATGCCATTATATTATCTGGAAAAAAAATTAAATTGTGGAAATCTATCCGCTGCCTGTATCCTTCTCCTCTATTCATACATATTTCCTAAACGTTACTGAGCCCAACATCCAGTGGCCAGGTGTGTTTGCTTTGTAAGCCCAAAATACTGCTCCACCAGAGAGAGGCCACAGGGAGGACTGGCCTTGGTGGGCAGCAGGGTGGTCCTGTCCATCCCTCATCTGCACAGAGCTCAGGTGGGGACCCAGCCCTGGTTTTCACGGGCTGCTGATGTAACACAAATATTAAATAATAGCAATGATTAGCTCATATTTGTATTCCCTCTGATTTTCCTCATTAGCAGACTTTCTTTTTTTTCCATTAAAGGGAACTAGAAAGTTGCAGTCATTTTCTGAATCATTTGCCCCTGTTGATAACCTAATTGTTTTACATGAATGCTAATATTTCCCTCTCACACATTTATATCTATCAGCTAAATCAGCAGTAAAGTAAACTCTTCTGGGATACATTCCTATATCAATTAGCAAGGATTTATGCTCCAAAGCACCATTAGCATTAATGGGAGTGTGCTCTTTAGCATAAACAATTGGCAGTAGGTCTGGTGGACTTTATTTCATAAACAAAGGAGCATTTGAATCTTGGAGACTTGTTTCCTCAAGACGGTACTTCAGGGAGTGATGTCCCAGCCTCCCCGGCTGCTCTGGGGACTCCTACTCACAGGACATGCATAAATTCCTGAGTTGCCAGCAAAAGGAGACAGAGTCAGTCTGGAAAGTGGGCTGACTTCTGGTACAACGTTCTGCTGGTGATTTTCCCTTCTGAAAACCTGCCCGAGAACATGCCAGGCGAAATTTCCACCATTATCTCATGTCCCTCCAACCAGTGGTTCGGAAAATTTTTACTCTTGGCATTGTGTAGTGCCTGAGGATGGAGAGCACAGAGGGGAGGGAGGGAAGGATTGTGGACAGAGGCAAAAGGAAGAGCAGAGATGAAGCCCTGTAGGAAAGAAAGGAACGGGTTTATTATCTCCTTGAACTGATGGTCTCACAGCTCCATGCCTTTCAGTAGAGAGCTAGAGGGGACCAGCAAAGCACCAAGTCTCACTTTTCACATGCAGGTCAATGATTTCTCCCTCACCCCGTGTTTGAGCAAACCAACAAATACACAACCAAAAGATTTTAATCTTAATTCTGGAGGCACTGGGAGTAGGGGCGAAAGTCCACCCCTTCCCAGAGGTGCACGTTCTGCTAAATGATTGCCTGTGCTTCTGCAGATGTTTTCTCTGTAGGTTCTGGCTCTGCTCAGTTCTGCTACATTAAAGAGCCTTTCTGCATCTGCCATTTCCCCCCAAAGACACTCATAAGCAGGTCTCAAGTTGCTTTTCATCCCTCGCTCATAAAATAAATATATAATGCTCTGGAAGCAACTACACACAATAGCGGTTTTCTAGTCCCTGAATAATTTGTGTGCTTTGTTTCTACAACTTCTTTCCCACCCATTCCCACCCCAGCGTTCTTTCTAAAGAGCCAAATGCATTATTTCAACATCAAGTGATGCAACATGCAGAAAGTAAAAATTTCATCCCTAGTCTGCTCCTCTGAATGACACAGTCAGGGATTGCATCAGTCCTTGCAAAAATGACATGCAAAAGCCACGAAAATCCATACTGGTAGAGTTATTTTGAGTTGCTCCTTTAGTGTGCCGAAATCCCTCTCAGATATGCTGTGCTGCAGGTTCCTCTGTGTGTGGTCTGCTTGCCTGTCCTTCGACTTGAAAGCTTGCTCATGACTGCACTAAGAGCCCTTTTGTGTAGCTCTTAGTCCTCTTCAACATTTTCCAACGTTATCAGCAGTTTTACTATTTACCTCCAACTCATTAGTGAAAATATTCAATAGCATTCAGACCCCTTCTATAAAAATACTCTCCTACAGTGAGTCCCCTTTGACAGCTTCTTTGTTGACATGTCAGCCCATTCTTAAACCATTTTATGTGCCTTGTATTGATAGAGTAGAATGCTAATTTTTTAATCAGAATCTGTTGTGCTGTCAAATGTACAAAAGTCAGAATATATTCCATCTTCGCAATTACTTTTATCAGCCAAAACCTACAATCACATCAAAGAATGAAATCCAGTTTGACAACCCTTCCTCCCTTAAAAAACATGTTGATTGGCATTAATTGTTTACCTCTCCTTTAATGTCTTTATACCCATATCAATATGTCCATTATTTTGCCAAAGCAATGTCAAGTTAGCCAGCCATGGGCTGGGCCATCCTGCTTGTCTTTTTGAGTGCAAGCATGAGAATGTCACATTCCCCACCCCATCTGGGATTCTGCTGGTGTGCTTAAATATTCCTAAGGGCTTGTGTCAATGGATCAGAGCTCTCTGCCCTATTCTTAGACCCAGATACCTGGGGCTTCCATATCTATAATAAAATGGTAGCTAAGTAGACTGTTACAGGGTCGGACCAGAAACCATTTGATCCTTCTCCTGACATGTAAGTATGTGAAAGAAGAGAATTTTTGACATTTCCTTCTTTTTCTGCAGCATGACTAGAAGATCTCCCATCTCCAAAAGCCTAAGTTCAGTGATAAAATAAACATACATATTTTTGCAGTTGTCCTGCCCTTCTCACTCAGGTAGAGATGACAATGTAATGGGGAACAACAGGGCAATGCATATGTATTTATAATTTTATAATATGTATTTATAATTATTTATATGTATCTATTATATTATTTAAAGGTCAATAGGAAGCATGGGTGAAGGTAAAATATTTTCTCATTCATCATCCTCCTCTGAACAGATACAGATGCTTACATTGGTGCACATGGGAGTTATAGCCCTATGGCTTTGAAGCAGACAGTGCAGAAGGGTCAGGACCAACCTGGGGAGTGGGGAATACCTGGGATCTGTTAGAGAAGAGAATTGGGAAATCAGAAGAGACCTGAGTTAGTCTAACAGACCTGACACCATGCAGTCAAAAAGGGATAAGCAGCAGCAATAACAGAGGAAGATGATGTGCTGTTCTATGCAATAGGCACAGGTGCTGTTTCAGCCCACATGATGCCATACAGGTATCTTGGCCACAGACCTTAGAGGTGCTGAGATATCAGTGCATCTGCTCAGGAACCTCAACCTCAGCCCAGCACTCCTCAAAGCAGGCACAGGCTGCTGCTTTACCCTGTAGACATCACTGCCTTTCCAGTGGCTGTAAGAGGACAACAGGAGCAAAATTTAGTTCTCTTAGTAGAGGCACCAAGTATTGCCCTCAGTGCCCAAGGGTACCCTGCCAGCTGCAATCTCTGCAATGGAAGAGCACAGGTGTCCTTTAGGTCCTTTGTCACACCTGCCAGCCCCACGTGGGTGTTTCAGACTGCTGCAGGTATCTCAGAAGGCACTAGGCACCCCTGTTCAGCCCATTCAGTCAGGCCCTGGATGATTTGCTCAGCCATCTCAGAGACCCAGGTGCAGCAAAGCCTCAGCTCCCATGTTGGGCAGCAGTAAATGGCAGCAGAATTATCCTGCCTGGCCTGAAGTAGCCAAGTACAGCTGAATTTGTTTGCCAGGTGTAGGCATCTAGTGCTGTTTGAGATGTCCTGTAACCTCCAAAACCTCCACAAAGGTGTAGATGTGGCACTTAGGGACATGGTTTAGTGGTGGACTTGGCAGTGCTGGGTTATTAGTTGGACTCGATAATCTTAAAGGTCTTTTCCAACCCAAAAGATTCTATGATTCCAAGGGCTTGCAGATGGGATGCAGAATGAGTAGGACACCTGTGACCACCAGCACGGGATAGCCTAGACTATTTCAAGACTCTAAATAATATAAGAATAAGGGTCTGGTGCATCCAGACACCCAGCTAAGGATCCCTAAGCTTAGAAGGATGAGTCTGTGAGCTGAATCCCACTTTAAGGCTTATATTAACTTTCCTGAACCTGGGCCGTGTTGGATACTCCAGGGCAACTCAAATGGCATTGATTCCTGGATTTATTAAAGAAAAATTGAGCTCTAGGGGTCTAATTTGTAGACGGCTGAAGGTGAAATTCAGTGAATCCTATTGTTAACAAATGAGCCCCAGGTGATGTCCCACAGGCCCTGAGTGGGACCTGTACCAATAAAAACTCCAACTGCAGTGGAACTGCCTTTTAGGGGATAGCAGTATGCAGACTAGC